ACTAAGACATTATAAAGAGTTGTAGGAGTTGAGGTGTAGCTTACTCATACCGTGCTTACCTATCAGAAGCCTCAGGTTGATCCCAGCATCACATACAAAAGCAAAAATGTACGCTCTCAGGTTGAAGCCCAGCCTGAGAAACAGTGACACTACTCTCAGAGAAAGAAGGGCAGGGAGGGCAGGGGAGGAAAAAGACCTGGAATTAGGAATAATTTTGTTTGTTTGCTCGTTTTGTTTATTTGAGAAAGGGTCTTACTATGCAGTTCAGAATGACCTTGAACTCACTACATAGCCCAGGCTGGCCTCAAATTCACAACAGTGAACCTCCTGCTTCAACCTCCCAAGTGCTGGGATTACAGGTGTGTGCCACCACGCCCAGCCCCAATGATTTTTAAGAAAGTAAAACAACAAAGTCTGAGAGAGCTCTAGTCTATACTGTCAAAATCTCTATAGAACAAATAAATTTGATTTTCTCAAAGAATAAATTTAAACTAGAACACTGAAGGAATCCATAGATGTAAAGCAATTAAAGGAATATAGTAAACTGGGCATGGTGGTGCACACCTGTAATCCAGCATTCAGGAGCCTGAGACTGGAAGATCACTTCAAATGAGAGACCAGCCTTGGCTACATAAGTTCAAGACCAGCCTGGACTACTCTCAAAAAAAAAAAAAAAAAAAAAAAAAAGGAATACAGTAATCAATCATAATAAATAAGCTTAACTTGGACCTTGAATCAAACTAGTAACTAATGGAAAAAGCTAATGAAACAAACACTGACTGGATATTTGATGATATTTTAAGGAATTAACTGTTTTTTAGGTGGTAACAAAATCTGTAACTGAAGCCAGGTGCTACTTATATGGCATTTATATATTTGACATCTTTCATAATGAAACTTTTTTTTTCATAATGAAATTTTTTTAACGAGCCTACTGACTGATAATTTAAATCTGCCATTCAAAACTGTTACAAAAATCGCTTTATATTACAGAACTTCTCATTGGAGATGTGAAAAAAATCTATGAAAAGGGAAGAGAAAAATTATGTACCCAAAATATAATCCAAATTATCTTCAAAGACACAGTAAGTATATATGCTCAGATTTATATTCAGTTTGAAACCATAAAAATTCTTTTCACTATAAAACTTAGTGGAAATATTGTCTCTACTTTTTCAATTCTAACTCTAATGGAAAGAAATAATAGTATCAGACAATATAGAAGCTGTGAATTGTCAATTCAAAATAGAATTGCTTCATTTTAATGATTTATATGGCTGTATGTTTTTAAAGCAAATGAAAAATACTTTTTATTTTTCTCAAAACAAATTACAGCAGCTAGGAATATACTGTATTTAGTACCTCATACTAATCGAAAATCTTATTAGTGAATACAAATTCAACAAACATTTAAGAGCCTTTAGGTCTGTGGAGGTTAAGGGAGCTAAAAATTTAAAAATAGAAAAACATAAAGAAGCCCACTATCTACTTCATTAACAACTATGTGACACACACACTCCAATTTCCAATGCAATATGAAGGGATAGTTTCCTGAGTACACAACCAATAAGTGATTACCATTAATCATGAGGATTCTGAAGTTGATGATCAAACTGCAGAGGGGTGGGAGGACACAAAGGCTTTGCTCTACAAAGGTAGTTACATGTCAAGGAAATGAAACCCTTAATGGACTAATACAGAACGTGAGAATTACACCAGCAGCATGTCCACCATCACCGCCATCATTATTTTCACTATCATCACTCTCCTTTTAAAGCATCTATTTATATGCCTCAATTTTTCCTAATTATGAAACATTTAAACTGATAAAAAGTCCTCAAATCCAGCTAACAGCCCATCATATCATTTGTTTGCTGGAGACAGGGTTTTCACTATGCAGGTCAGGCTGGCCTTGAACTCACTTTGTAGCCCACGCTGGCCTCAAACTCCTGGTAATGTTCTGCACCACATGCCTGACACTATTGTGGAATATAGTGTTAATCACTGCTATGCATGTTTTACTGTATGCAAAGGTATGTGTAAGCAATGGAATACCACTTCACCTTTTTAAACTTTACCAAATGACATACTGGTCTGTACTTTGTTTTAAGATTTTTTTGTTTGTTTTTTGTTTTGAGACAGGGTCTTGCTATGTAGTGCAGGCTGGCCTTGAACACACTATGCAGCCTACACTGGCCTTGAACTAATGGCGATCTTCCTGTCTCAGCCTCCGAAGTGCTGGGATTATAGGCCTGTACCGCCACACCCGGCTCTTTAGATTGTGTGTTTTTATTTATTAATACATACTTGTCATACATACTGACCACATTCATCATAGGGAATCTGTACCTGTACATAATATATCTTAATTCTTTTTTCCATTCCCTTCAACCCTTCATCCCCTTACAAAAGATGTTTCCTTTTTTTCTTCCATTCTTTTCCTTTTGCCTTCCTTTTCTTTCTCCTTTCCCCTCCTTTGTTTTCCTTCTCATCTATTTTTGTGTGTGTGTGGTTTTCTTTTGGATTTTTTTTGGTCTTTTTTGGTGTCAGGAGTCAAACTCATGACCTCACACTTGCCAGGCAGCCTCTGTGCCACTAAGCTATATCCCCAGCCCGTTTTTTTTTTGGGGGGGGGTCTTTTCGAGACAGGGTCTCGCTATGCAGTTCAGGCTAGCCTTGAGCTCACTTTTTTGGAGGCTGCTCTCGAACTCTCAAGGATCCTCAGCCTCCCAAGCGCTGGGCTTACAGGCGTGCGCCACTACCCTCGGCTTTTTCCTTCTCATTTGAACATGTTTTTCCTGTGTTGTTTTTTAATTCAGTCATGTTGTTTTATGCAGTTTTAGTTAACTAATGAAAACTGCTGGAAAGTACTATATATGAATATCACAATTGTCTACTCTCTAATGCAATGTGTAAATTATTTCCATTTTTATTACAAGGCTGCTAATTTTTAATTCCATGAGCATATATTTATTTTGGGGATACAGTTCCTAGAAAGTGAACTGTTAAATCAAAGGATATATTCCTTCAACTTCATTAAAGACTGCTAAATTGATTTGCAAAATGGTTATGCCTTTTTACATGTCCATCAGGCAGTGTATACAGTAGTTTATGATACTGTCATACTTTTTTTTTGAAACAGTTTCACTATGTAGTTCAGTCTGCCTTTAACTCATTCTGGAGCCCAGGCTGGCCTCCAATTTGAAGCAATCCTCCTGCCTCATCCTCCCGACTGCTGGGATTACAAAGAGTGCTGGGATTACAGGTATGTGCCACCATACCCGGCCTGCCATACTTTTCAATTTTGCCTAATGAAGATAAAAGGGAAACCTGGTTTTGTTTCCCCCGGATCACTATCATTTATTGGCCTTTCAGGTTTCTTCAAGTGAAAAATTTTAAAAACATTGCCTTTTTTTGATTTGTAACAGTTCTTAAACTAGTCTGGAATATCAATCTTTTATAGGTTCGATGCTTCCAAATGTTCTCATCCCAACAGAATAAACCTGTTGCTGACTCTGAAATCTAGTAGTGTAGAGCAACGTTAATTCCTAATTTCTTGAAATTCACAGTTGCTTTCCTGACTTTTATATCTGTATTTCTCAACCATTTTCCACTTATAGCTGATTGAATTCCTCATCTGAAGCCAATACACACACATACAGAAACTGACAAACAGGGCCATAATTCAATTTATATTAAGGGATGATATTTCCTTTTTCTGTTGTTGTTCTTTTTGTTTTTTTAAAACAAAGTCTCACTATGCAATGCTGGCTGACTTTGAACTCACTTCGGTTTTCCAGCCTCGGCCTCCCAGTGCTGCGATTACAAACAGTGCTGGGATTACAAGTGAGCAGCACCACACCTGGCTGGGATGACATTTCTTCAAACACAAGCAAATACAAAAGACAAGTACATGTAATTCCAGCACTCGGAAGGCTGAGGCAGGTGGATCGCCCCGAGTTCGAGACCAGCGTGGGCTACTTAGTGAATTCAAAGTCAGCCTGCACTACAAAGTGAGACCCTGACCAAAAAAAAAAAAAAAAAATTCAACTAGTTTGTCTCCATACAGCTACCACATGGCATTCACATCAGTCAGTAAAGAAGTACCTACTCTGATTAATGGTTTATTAAAATCCTTAACTTAATTATATCCATTAGAATATCCGAAACGGTAAGAGTGCCCACTCTGCCCAATGAATTAAGAAGATAAAAACTAAGTAAATGAGTTAAAATTTTCAGTCGCACTAACGTAAATCAGGCCTTTACAGATGAAGTTGCTCCACAGAAGTGAACTCAACTTTGGATATTTTAGTAACAGACGTCTGCTCAATAGCTTCCTTCACTTACAGAAGCATCCACCAACTGTTCTACAAACTAATGATGCCGTTCGAGCGGTACATAAACATTCAGCAGGAAGGGCTCTTAAGTCACTTACCGCCTCCATTTTTAGGTAAAGCATCTACAATCCACAAGTTACAAGAAATTTCTCAATCCAGACCCTCTAAAATTTACCAAGTCAGGGTACTTTCCATTGCATCACGAGACTTATTTTAGACGCCCAGGTCTAAAATTGATTTATTTCTATTAATTTTACAAGCGTAGGTTTATATGTTCTAGAAATGATGCAAGTAACTCCCAAACACACCCCAATCTTTTCCTTTCATTTCTCTACCTTTTCCTTGCCCTATCCTCCATTATAACCCACGGAATGAAAACAATAACTATCTGAGTTTCTGGCCCTAACGGGGTGCAGTCCCAAGACCCTGCTACTGTTCCTGAACGAGACTGGCCGAATTTTGAATTATTATTAGTTTCTTCGTCGATAAATACGTAGTACGCGCAGACTGGGCAGGAAGCGCGCCGCACGCCGCCGCCCCGGCCCCCGGAGCTGCGCGAGGGCGCGCAGGCAGCTCCCCGGCGCAGGCACGCAGGAACGCCCGGGAGGGGGGCCCAGCGAGCCCGCGGAGTGGCGGCCAGCGCCCGAGAGGCGGGCAACTCACCTTTCCGAAGCTCCCGCTCCCACACCGTGACGATGGGCCGCGAGTGCTTGCGGTGGTGGATGAGCCACAGGGACAAGGTCTGCACGCTCTGCTGCGAGTTGCTCAATTCCGACAGCTTCTTCTCCAGCGCCGCCTCAGAGAAGGCGGACATCCCTCCAAAAACACGTCCACGCCGTCCCACGCGGAAGGGCCTAGGGGAGGGGAACTTCGCCGCCCTCGCCGCGGCCTCGCCTACTCACCCCACCCTCCTCCACGCCCTCGCCGCGGCCGCCGCCTCCACCACTTCCCACTCCGGCCGCAAACTAGCAAGATGGCGTCCAGCCGGCAGTGACGTCACGGTCGCGCGGCCCCGCCCCTCCCGCGGCCGGTCCTGGGAAAAGCGCCTCGGCCGAGAGGCGGGCCCGCCGGGCGGAAGGGGCGGGCCGGAGAGCGGTAGGGGGCGTGCCGCCGGGGTCAGGCCTAGAGGCGGGGGATGGGGGCGATTGTCTGTGACAACAGTAATTACAAATCTCTAAGTATGCTCATTGTCATAAATTGGTGCAGCCACGTTGGAAGAGTACTTGCATGTTCGCTACGCGTAGAAATACACCATAAACCAACGCTGTGGAAAGAACCTGCTGACCAACTACTCTGGGAAGCTGAGGCAAGAGGATGCCGTGGGCCTCTTAACAAGATCCTGTTTTTTTTTCCGCCAGGGAGGAAAAAAAAAATTAGTTAAGGTCTGAGAGTATAGTTCAGTGGTGCTTTATATGTGGGAAGCTCTGGGTTCAGTCCCCAGAACCAAAAAGTAAAAATAAACTAGTGAGTGAGTATATGGGGATGATGAGGCCTAAGCTACATGCTGAGATTAGTCTTTCCAGGAGAGCCACAATGTTTGGCTGGTTTTTCTTACATTCCCCACCTTCCATGCCAACTCGCATGCCTGCTGTGTGGCCCTACTTATGCGGAGTACTATACTATCTTCAGCTACTGCCTCTCAAGACTCCAATTTTTGAAATCTGTAAGCCCAGAGAGTAGAAGGTGCCTCCTGTCCTCGATTCTGCTTATCCCTACAGCTAGGACTAACTGCCTGTCTTCTGACTAACTATCAGATTATTCCTGTTCCCAGAGGTGAATGAGCGAAAAGAAGCCACCTTGTACTGTCAGAAGAACATGATCATGACTCTGCTGGCCTCTTTCTTCTACTCTGCCCACCTGTGGGACCAGTTAGAGACTGTGGTTTGACTACCTCCATCACAGTCACCTACTACTTCCTGTATGTGTGTGTGTGTGTGAGTGATCCTGGACACACAGCATGCAGATGGAAACCATGCAGTTGCATAAAACTTAAGCAAAGAATGGCACCTGGCTAAGTTCAGGGCCTTCCTTTTCCCTGAGATAACTGGAGCCACACTTTTGTACATCATCTTCAGCCTCAGGAACATAATTTGTCAGCTGCTGTATAGAGGTACCAGACCAAGCATTACATAAAAAGACACATGATTTAGAAAAAAATTGAAATATACATAGGGGAAATACAACTTCTGTGCAATTTCACTAATTGCTACCAATGCTAGACAAACATCAGTATGTTTGCACCAGGAGATGCGTGCCAGGTGTTGGATCCAGTGTAGCAGCAATGAAAAATTGGGACATTCACAGCCGGTAAATGGCTAAATTGTGACACAACAATATTACAGAGTACACACGGCAGTATGAGAGATAAAGTCAGCTGGGCACAGTGGTGCACATCTGTCATCCCAGCACTCTGGGAGGTTGAGGCAAGATGGTCAGAAATTTGAGCCCAGCCTGGGCAACTTGGTGAAATCCTGTTACAATGGAAATTTTAAAAATTTAAAAATCAACTAGTAGTCTGACACCATATTAAGACAAAATAAGACCATGCAGTCCACCACGTAGCTCATCTGTTAGACTCACTCAGCCTTGACTGACTAACTCAGAGATAATCTGACCCAGTTCAGTTTGACCGCACCCAGCTGCACAGCCTGTACTTTCCAGCCCCCAAACATACCCTGTTTACTAACTTGTTTCAAGGACTTTCTGCTCAGCAACAAAAAACAACTGATGCTACCTAATAAAAAATCACCATGTGTAGTGGATTGACAACTGGTGGTCAACTTGTAACACCCAGCTGAACTGAACCAGTGTGGTGCTGGGTGTGGGAGGCCCGCCTGAGGATTGTTGCCAGCAAAATAAAAAGGAGAACTGGAGAAGAAGAGGAGGAGCTGTTAAGGAAGCTGTTAGAAAAATGTTGGTTTTCTTGGAGGAGCTTGTCATGCTAGCTTTCCTAATGAACTCGGCTGTTCTCAATGTCAGAGGAGCTCAGGACCTTGTTGCTGAGAGTGGCTTCAGTTCACTTTCGGGGAGCTCTGGTCCTTACTTTGAGCATCTGGAGGGGAAGATGGTGCGCTGTTCAACCTCCTGGAGAAGCTCGTCACACTGGCCATCCTGATATAGTCTTGGCTGTTATCTTTAGAGGAGCTTGGGACCTCATTTTCACTGAGGATAACTGTAGTACTTTTCCGGGGAACTCTGGTCTTCGAGTGTCACTTCCTGGCTCCAGTTAAGATCCCTCAGCCTACTAGCACAGATCCTTCATCCTGCTGGCACAGATTTACTAGCTTTCACCACTGACTGACCTTTGGGCCTTCCCAGCGCAGATTCCTGACACAGTCCTGCATGAGACATTGTCGTGGGCTCTAGGCCTCCAGTTGGATTCATGGGAGGCATTGTTATGGGCTCTAGATCTTCAGCTGGACTTGTGCAGGACCTTACTACAGGATCCAGGCCCTCAGCTGGATTATTTTGGTCTTCTAGTGTGTGGACAGATTTCCTGCACTCTCTTTGTATATGACTCTTTGGGGGACTACTATAAAATAATCCTATAAATTGTGTGTCTTATATTGTTTCCCCTTTTAAACCCCAAAGTACAACACCAATCTTTTAAGCCTTTGTGTCTTTCACTTCCAAACCTATATAAACTAAGCCTAAAGCTGGCTCTGGGCTGATGCTTTGGGAACGATCCCCCATTAGCTCACTGGTGTAATAAAGTTGATTACCTTCCAACTCCTTGGTACAGAACATTTTCCATTCGGTTCAGGACTGGTTCCACAACACTGTCCCAAAATTTAAAAAAAAAGAATAGAGCTAGAGCTATATTTCAAAGTGAAGGCCCTTGGTTCAATCCCCAGCACCACAAAAAATGGAGGGGCGTCTAAAATGTGGTGGATTTAGGCTTTTAATAATGGTCTCACCAAGAGTATCAAAACCGGAAAGTTTAACTGGGCTTGGTGGAAGATACCTCTAATCTCAGCACTCAGGAAGCTGAGGCAGGAGGATTCAAAGCCAGCCTGGGCTACATAATTATACCCTGTCTCAAAAAAAAAAAAAAGCTGGGCATGGTGGCGCACACCTGTAATCCCAGCACTCGGGAGGCTGAGGCAGGAGGAACCCCGCAAGTTGAAGACCAGCTTAAACTACAAAGTGAGCTCAAGGCCAGCCTGAACTGCATAGCAAGACCCTGTCTCAAAAAGACAAAAAACGAAAACAAAAACAAAAAAAAGAAAAACAAAACTAGAACCCTTAAACTTTGTCTTACGTTTTCATTTCTTTTTTTTATTTTAAAGAGAATAAAAAAAAGAACAATAGCAAAATACCAACAATATAAACAAAAACAAAACAAAGCAAAAAACAATAAAAATGATACAGGGTGCCAGAACAAAATCACAGGATTTAACAATTCATGTATTACATGCCCCCAAATTTTTTGGGTTTTTTTTTTTTTTTTTTTTTGAGACAGGGTCTTGCTGTGTAGCCCAGGCTGGCCTTAAACTCACTATGTACACTTGATCTTAGCTAAAAGGCCGAGAAGCGATTAAACTCACTATGAAGATTAGGTTGACCTCAGACTCTAGACGATCCTCCTGCCTCGGCCTCTCAGGTGCTGCGATTATAGACATGTGCCATCACGCCTGGTCAGCATAGTTAAATTTTAACTCCAAGGGACAGAGAAATAGCTCAGTGATACAGAATGTGTATTACATGTTTGAGACTCTGAGTTCAATCCTAGCCCAACAACAACAAATATTAATAAATTTCAGAAGTCTCATAATTAATCCAGAACATTTTGACATAACACTTGCCTTAACTATTTTATTTTATTTTTATTTTGGTACTGGGAATCGAACTCAAGACCTTGTGCTTGCCAGGCAGGTGCTTGTGCCGCGGAACTATATCCCCAGCCCAATAAACTGCTTTGTAACTGGCACAAGTGTGCCTATTTATTTATTTTACTTTTGGTACCAAGACTCATGCTTAGGACCTTGCTCTTGCCAGGCGGGCACTTGTGCCACTGAGCTATATCCCTGGCCCTGCCTTAGCTATAAACATTCACAAAGGATACAAAAAGATGTATCTTGTTACATTCTAAGCATTAATACAAGAAACTTCCAGAAAGATGCATAAAAAAACCACAAAAATCCCTAAACCCCTGGCAGATGTGGAGGTGCACACCTGTTAGCCTAGCACTTGGGAGGCTGAATCAGGAGGATGGCTGTGAGTTTGAGGCCAGCCTGGGTTACATAGTGAGATCGTGCCTCAAAAAAAAAAAATCCCTAAGCCATCTTTTGAGAAACATTGCTCAAGTACTCTGTACCAAGCAGGCATCAAATGTATTTATTAATTTATTTGGTTATTAGTACAGTTTACTGTTTCCATTTTTCTTTCTTTTTTTAAGGGATAGGCTTCAGTATAAAAACTTTCCCATTTTTCATGGTATGGCTGGTTGAGGTTCAGAGAGTTGAAGATGTATCATAACTCTTCTTTCTTCTCTGCTCACTCCATTGTCTATTCCTGCACTTACATTCTTCACAACCCCACTGTATCCTTCTGTTTATTCAGTACAATTAGCCTAGTTTTTAACTGTAATAAAAAAGGAGTTTAACCTACTTATCTTCAGGAACCTAATTATGTCTTTTTAAAAAATTTTTTATTTTTTTTTTTTGTCTTTTTGAGGCAGGGTCTCCCTATGCAGTTCAGGCTAACCTTGAACTCACTTTGTAGCCCAGGCTGGCTTCAAACTCACAACAATCCTCCTGCCTCAGCCTCTCAAGGGCTGAGATTACAGGCAACCATACCTGGCCCTAACTGTGTCTTTAACACTCTTCCCTTCCATAAACTCTACATCCACCCAAATTGCTTTTTATTTTAGGCCAATTTATGTCTGAGATTCAAACTCTTCCACTCTTCATATCTCAATTTTACCTGAACTTTAAAAAGAACCTTAAGCTAGGGGTGGTGGCTCACGCCAGTTATCTCAGCACTCTGGGAGGCT